AATATGTGAACAGTATTATTAATAATTTACTGATGTACATCATTACATATAGTGTACAGCCAATCAGATTAGAGTAGATCACGTGGAGGTGAAATTTTTTATGGCGATACTAGGTAACATGATCGTGTACTGTTATGTTATTCACTATTAGCTAATTATCACATGATCCGGACATTTCTTCGCCATGGCTAGAGTATTCACTTTTGCCGTATGCCGTTACGAGTTACAACCGGCTTGTGTAACGGCATTGCCGTTAAAACACCAAGTTATGCCTGCAACTCTATTTGGACCCGATCCAGTCGGGTCGTGCAATAATGCAAATCAATCAAGGCTCGCGTCAATAAATATAATACGACTAGCTGGTTTTATTCATATTCGAAGACTTTAATCATGAACAAAGAAAAAGAAAAAAAAGAAAAAACACGTGCCAAGAGAGTACCGCTACCAAAGTTGGACGCTGAGAGGTATTAAAAAAAAGTTTACCTGATTTTCCAATTCCCCTAAAAGCGAATTATTTGACGTTTATTTAAATAGATTACTAGGGGAAGACGGTTTAAGGAAACTACGAATGAAAAGTCACGAATTAGTTATTGACAAACGTGAAGATCCGGTAGTTATATTGCTTATGACCCTTTCATTATTATAACGCGTATATTAACTCTATTTTTTAATTCTAGGAAAAAAATCTTAGAAATTTAATGACATTTTATCAGATATGGGCTCATGAGATGTTTCCAAGCATGAAATTTCGGGATGTAATTGCTAAAACGGAAAAGATTTGTAGAGAGAAAAGACTTACTGTAAATTACGTTATTACTTTCGTTATAATAAACTCTCGATATGGTGAAGGTCTTGATATAGTGATGAATTTTTTTAAAATTCATTGCCATTATTATTAACTATTCGTTCATATAATAATTTTTATATAATATTCTCTTGACATAAGCTGTAGTGAAGATTCTTTTTCTCAGCCTGATCACTTCACTATAACGAGAGTGATTTGTATAACAAATTTGCTCTGCAATATTAAGAAAAAAAAAACAAATGAAATTTATTTGATGTATA